GTGACTGTTTTCGTTTGAAAAGTCAAAATCTCGTTAAATGGTTTTATTTATTTATTTAACTAATGAAAACGCACCATGTTAAGCTTTAACCCTACCCAATTAATTCCTCAGGCCCAGTTGCTAACCCTCTCCTCTCAACACGAATGGAACCTCCCGCTGTTTCATTCCACTATGTCGAAAACATTGACGCCGGCAACGTTGATGTCGATGTTGATCCTTTGGTGAACCCAAAATTTTTACCCCCATCTTTTTCGGTTGAAGCGAAACAGCCGATTTATGGAGACGTCGACAAAATGAAAACCGACGTCTTCGACGGTGACAACTTTGATGCTAGCGACAACATGGGTACGATTTTTCCAGCTTACTCTTCTTCCAACTGAAACATTCGTTTTTCTAGCTTAACATTCTCTCTGAATTTTATTTTTATTATTTATTTATTTATTTATTTTTGTTTATAAAGATTTTCATGTCTGCAAAAAATATTGAAAAGCATTAATTCGTCATGGCTTTACTTTACACAATTTAATTGATTCTGTAAGGTTGAAGAATTTTAATTCCTTGTGTTTGAAAAATGCATTATTCTTGGTCTCTGGCCCTTAGGGATTTTGTAATTTTAGGAGTGACTAGTTGAAATTGATGAAAAAGTTATAATCTGATACGAAAACTCTCCAGTAGATTTGTTTGATGGTAGACTCTAATGTCGACATTCATATTAACGTCTGAACTTAGAAAATAAGAAAAGGATTATTATGACATAGATATGTCGTTTTATCTATAGACAGAGGAAGTATGATGCCCTTTTTGAAACCTGTGCTTTGAAGCCTGACGTTTTTTGAAGACCAAGTGAATCGCTGGTTAAGGATCATATCAAGAAAGAAATCTTTATGGAAGCTTCTAGTTAACTAGAAAGGTTCTTTTGTGCAAAGGTTAAGCCTTAAATCTATTAGATTGTTCAGTGTTTTGGAATACTATTGAAAATATTAGAAGTATATGGCCTTCCCGTTATCAGTAGATATTTGCAATATGGATTGAAAAATATTGGATGAAATAATGAAAATATTTGCAATATTGTAGATAGCCCCTTAAGGTTTTGACACTTTTTATCTTTCTAGCTTCTCTTTTCTACATTAGTTCTTGATAAGGGCATTTCTTTTCCGGTTGCTTGTTCTTTTGAATTGTTTATTTTTTGATACATCTGTTTTGTTCATAAAGTGATATTATTTTAGCTTGATTTACATTATGGTGTTGTACCAACTATTTGAACTGATTGCTGTCATTTTTTTGTGAATGTAGGATATTTGGAAATTCTTTCGTCCAAAGATGATAATCCGAATGATAAGAGCTCGTGGGAAGGAACGAACATTATTGTGCCCAGTGTTCGAATGAAGTTTAAGAACGAGAAAGAGGTGTTTGAGTTTTACAAAAACTACACTTACTAAATCGGTTTTCCCGTAAGGAAAAGAAATTCGAAGCAGGGTGATGAAGGAGTTATATGTTATGTAACCTTTACATGCAGTCGGGAAGGCCGTCGAACCAGTGGGACAAATGCAGTTTTGAAGTCTCGACCAACCATCCAAACTGGGTGCAAAGCAGATTAACGGCATGTTTTGACCTTAATGGAATTTGGCGTATTAACACGGTTCATCTAGAGTATAATCACAGAACTAGCTCATCAAAATCACGGCTATATCGATGTAATCATCAAATCAGTGCACGAGTTAAAAGACAACTTGAAAGAAATGACATCGCTGGTATACCACAAGAGTTTTAACTCAATCGTAGTTGAAGCGGTGGTTATGAGAAGATTGCATGTGTGGAGAAGGATTGTAAAAATTTCATTGACAAAGTACGTTGGTCGAGACTTGGGCAAGGAGACGCTATTGCAATACAAGCGTATTTTTTGAAGATGCAAGCAAATAGTCCTGGCTTCTATTTCAATATAGACTTCGATGAGGATGCCCACTTGAGGAACGTTTTCTGGGCAGATAACATGTACAGGCAAGCGTGTAAGGAATTCGTTGATGTAGTAACGTTTGACACCACGTACTTGACTAACAAGTACGAAATGCCTTTTGCTCTCTTTGTTGGGGTAAACCATCATGGACAATCAACTTTACTTGGATGTGGTTTGGTCTCAAATGAGGATACAAGTACTTTTGTATGGTTATTCAGAACCTAGCTTAAGTGCATACATGATGGAGCTCTAACTGGAATTATTACAGATCAGGATCGAGCTATGCAGAATGCAATTGAAATCGTGTTTCGAAACATAAAACATAGGTGGTGCTTGTGGCATATCTAAAAAAGTAACTAGAAAAATTTAGTGGCCATAAACATAAAGTTTCTATTCTTTTTGCTATGCATCACTTGGTATATATGTGCAAAGTTGTAAGGAATTTGAGCAAGGTTGCAGTAAGATGTTAGAAGATTACAAAGTGGTTGAATATTTTTGGTTGATCGGACTGTACAATGAGAGGTTCAATGGGTGCCATGCTGTTTGAAAATTTCATTCTGGATGGGTATGTCAACCACTCAACGAAGTAAGAGCATAAATGCATTTTTTGATGGCTATGTCCATTCGAAAAAATCCCTAAAAACATTTGTAGAGCAGTATGAGCGTGCTTTGAGAAATAAAGTTGAGAAGGAGGTTCAAAATGATTTCAAATCATCCTCACAGATGGTTCTATGTGTGACAACGCAAAGTTCAGGGAATTCCAAGAACAGTTCACCGGAAGGATATATTGTGAAGTTTTATCTGCTCATGATTCATACTTACATACCATCTATGAAGTGCATGAGGACATCATTTCAAATGAATATATGAAGACAAAAATGTTTGAAGTGTGCTTCCGTAGGGATGAATGTGATTTGAGTGCAATTGTCATTTGCTTGAGTTAAGAGGAATTATTTGCAAGCACGCGATCACAGTTTTGATCCTTAACCAAGTGAAATTAGTGCCTGAGAAATACATATTAAAGAGATGGAGACGAGATGTTAACAGACCGTATGTGAGGGTTCCAATCAGTTATGACGGTTGGATCAGTACTCCTAACCAAGTTAGATATGAGCAAATGTGCGATGCATTTACCAAGTTAACTTATATGATTGCACATGACAAATCATGATCAAAGGAAATTATTGAGTGGATTGATTATTAAACTGTAAAGTCATCCACGCTAAAGTCCAAGACGGAGGTCTTCGCAAGCTTTGATAGAGTTGTCTAGTGTGCTAGTGAAGTCATCCTCGACCCAAAATACTCAAAAAGGCAAAAGAACTCCAAAAAACTTCGTCGAAAGGGACATTTTGAAACTTGTTCAAAGAAGTCAAACAATTGTCTGAAGGTTTATATTTTTTTCTATTTTTTTCATTTGTTCATGATCAGTACTTTGTAGTCGTGAAATCATTAGTTTTTTTCATACCACGTAGGGGCCAACGAAGCCAATTGTATTGAAAAGGCATAAAGAAAATGATTCGACTGCATTCATTGATTAGGTAAATGAGCTTTGCAATGAACGATACCAAGTTATTTGAGTTCAGGTTTGAGATGCTTGTCATTGACATTACCTATTTCATTTTGTAAGATGTTCGTGTACAAAATACCCCTCATCATAGCTATCCTCAAGTCGGCACATAGGAGAGCATAGCTGGTTATGATTTTGGGATCCAAAACAGTTTCAAATTATTACATTTTTTTGGATAATTATTTTGCTAAGCTAATGTATTTGCAATCGTTTTTGTTAGCTTCAAATTCAGCTTTTCCTTAGGACTCGAAGGCCTTTTCTTTAGTCCCTCTTTTCACAACAAGGAGCTCTTACATTTTTGCTTATTTTTGTATTGGCAGTACTTTTGTTAAGCTCATTTATTGCAGGATCTGTATGTTAAAGCTATTGTGATGAAATTAGACCCATTTGTTGTAACCTATATTTTAGTATTCTAGTCAAGTTAGAATTTGAAGTAGCTCTGTCTTCATTTTGTTCAACCAGGTGACTAATTGAGTCATCAAAATTTTGGCGTTTCTAGTATACTATGTACGAATCTCGTGAAATAAGCATGATTTGCATAGCAACTTAGGAGTTGGTAAAGATGAAGGTGTGCATTTTTTCCTATTCTACCAGCGAGCTTTGAAATCTTAAACTTGTCTTAGTATCTCCGTTCTTTATGTCTTCAGAAGGATTTTTCGACCAACACCCGTTTTCAAACATTTTGTTTCCTCATTTTCCTTAGTCACAAGACCTTTTAGGATATTACTGCTTGATCATGTAATTCGGGAAAAGTTGGAGAATGCTTAATAAGAAGAGCTTGCCACTTTTGCTCTTTGCCTTATTGTAAAAAATGAGATATTATTTGCCCATAGTCCCCTTCCACCAAACCTACCGGTCCTCAAACCCAAAGAATTGTAAACTAGTAGTGGATGTATATGGTATTGACATTCTAAGTAACTACATTTTTTGTGATGTGAATGTAATATAATATCCTCTCCTCATTCTTGTTCAACAACAACCTATGAACCCTTTCTTTTTGTAACCTATATTTTGTTAAGGATTTGTATTGGCCTCACACCCGTGCAATGCATTTTTCATTAATGTTAAGGCATTACATTGTCATTAACATAAGTCGAAGATTAACATTAAGGCATTATATTTTCATTGACATTAAGTCATTACGTTGTCATTGACATTAACATTCATGCAGTACATTTTCATTAACATTAAGGCATCACACTAAAGATTAAATATTCATTAACTATCCCATTACATCGAAGTTCATAGAACATCTTCCAAATCCCATTTCTCCTTATGAATTGTTATGATGTTGAGAGAGATCTCAATGTCTTTTTTCTCGGCTATTTTAGCACACGTTTTTAACATACCCGACAAATCATCGACAGATTCACTACCATTGGAGACGCCACTTGATTGACCTTCATCTTGCAACCAATATACTGTAGCAGGATGAGATTTATTCCAATCAAAAAATCAACGTACGTCGCGGGTACAACAATGGAACAAATGCCTTTTTTTATCGCTTTGCTTTTCCACCTCCATCCATTTAATGTAGCATTGGCCACTGTTTGGGCATCTTCTCTTTCCGAGGTAATCTGGCAACATGTGTCCTGGCTGTCTACATGAATGACATATCCCTTTATTTTTTCTAGGCATTGAAGAATTCTAATATAACAACGAAAAAACCACATCACAATAATGTCTGAATTGGCAAGTAGCAATAAACCCAAATGTAAATGAAACAATTTTCTCCAATGGACATATAACTGTGGCTGAAATTTGCTTCAGGCTACTAAAAAAGAAAAAGAAAAAAAGAGGTTTCTATGGCTGGAATTTGCACAAAGAAAAGCACAAAATCGCTTTCGTAGTGACTCTTCCTCCGAAAAACGAATTCAGTCAAAGAATGGGAAAACACTTCCATCGTGACAGTACCAAAACCCACCCCAAAATGAAGATTTGTATAAATAAAGGGACATTTTGAAAACACACATTTCCCAGTAATCAACTGTCCAAATATATAATCTACTCATTTAAAAACCCAAAAATGAAAATCTATAAATAAAGCACCCAAAAAAAAAAAAGGTCCAATCATTTCAAAAACATATATTCTTCGTGGTTGATACTGATTTCAAAACCCCAAATGAATATCTATAAATAAAGCACCAAAAAAAAAAAAAGGGAATTCCAGTCATTTCAGAAAAACATCGAAACAGAGTCCCCGGACCTGGATTTGCCAGATGTAGCTTCGCAACCGAGAGATCTCCAATGCATGATGAAGTGTGCAAGGGAGTCCGGAGAGAGATTATCAAACTTTGTGATGGGTTTGGGTTTTGGTTTTGGTAAGGTCTGAATTTGAAATGGATTTTACCAATTTCTCCGAGTTATTGGGGTCAATATCTTTTAACAATTAAAAGCGCAACATCAGCAAGCTGTAATTGCTTCCGGACGTTTTTTACATACAAATAGAATTATCCTTTTTTTACTACTAATATTAAACATTCTTCCTACTGATTTTTCATTTCTCATGAAAATAATTATCGACTAAACTTCTTATGGGTCCGTTTGGTAGAGATTTTGAAAATTGATTTTTTGACCGTTAGAAGAAAAGTGGGGTCCACATATGAGAGAAGAAGTCAAAAATTACGACTTGAATAGTAAAATAAATGTCAAAAAATCAATTTTTTGAGGCAAAAAATCTCTAAAATTGGGCCTATATTACATTTTATTTTAATAAAAGTTAATGAAATGTATGATTTAAAAGTTGTGAGATCATAAAATATGTTTTGATTTCAATTAAAATTAAAATTTTATAATTATTTGATTAAAACTACTATTAAATTTTTGAATCTTAACCATATATCCGGAAAATATTGCATCCTTTGGTTTTGGGAGCAGGAGTAAACTTCCACCTATGGCGGTTTCATTATCTCCGGTGAAAACTCCGCTTCTCTATCCGCTCCACAGCAACTATATCAGCTCGTTTTGCCCCAATTTTCCTCTCAGTTTGCCCTCAAATTGCAACTGCAAAACTCGCCGCCGCCCCCAATTCGTCATCACTTTCTCTTATAGTAAGCAGCTCAAATTCCCGATACGCGTTCATTTTTTCGCCTCATTTCTGGTCTACTTTGCAAAAGGAAAAGAAACTAAACCTCATCTATGTTGATTGCTGAATGTTGCCCTCTTGAGTTTTTTCTTAATTCTTCACCGTGTTCATATTTAAGCGACCTGGTATTTTACCCTTCACTCGTGCCCTAGTTTGTTTTAGAGCACTAACTTTTAGAATCTAAGTGCTCTTTTGCGAGCTGTTGTTCGTTTGACCTTATCTGGTACTGATTATTATTTCGCATATAAGCAACTTGGAACTTTAACACTATACAATGATATATCAGAATCAAAGAATGGAGCTATTTCTACTGACAAGAAAAGGGAATTGCTTGAAAGTTACGGCCTTAATCCTGATGAATTTTTATCGGAACCCTCTCCAAAGGTCGATTCTCTCTCATTATCATTTTTTTTTATTTTTTTATTGCAAGCGCGGATATTTGTATGTGATATGAGTTAAGTGTATTGATTGATTATTTTTGTTTCATTTTATAGATAAAGAGGAGAAAAGAGCGCACCAAGATGGAAATGGGAAATGAAGTACTTTTGGAGGATCCGAAACCTCCTAGGGATACTCACAAATTGCTGCAGGTTTGAATGAACTAAGAAAATCATTAGTCTTCATATCAAGTGGAGGATTTCTTCTCAAAATTGTTAGATTGCTAAGTGTGCTTAAAAGAAATAAAGTAACATCTGTTGGATATGAGCTTATTAGGCATTTCATATCTGGATGTGAATTTCTTTTCCCTTAGTTCACTGTGAAGAAGCTTATAAATAGAAGGATAAAAAGGACCAAAGAAGGATAATGTTTGGCCAGCTTACTTTAATGACATACTGCTTGATGTGTGCTCAAGCATTATTCTTCGGCAGTGTAGTTTTAAGAGGAACTGTGATGTATTGTTGTTTGCTTTGCTACTGTACAAACTGAGCTGGATGTCTACTTCTCATTTCAAGTATATAATTGCAGCTGATTTGTTACCCTTTGTATGTGGACCTTTAATTTGGGTTTTGTCTGGGAAATAAGTTTCACGTGAACCTTCGTGGCTTTATAGGTTCTTGGAGGGACTGCTCGGAGAAAGAAATTGCTCTCACCAAAGGGCATGGATGTGCGACCAATGATGGAAGTTGTAAAGGGAGCGGCTTTCAGCATATTGCAGGTGAATCCTGCTGTAGAATTTTGAACACAATTTTCCTCTTTTAATTGGATAAGGTGTTTTGACTTCTTTATTTGCACTGGAACAATTAGAAAGCAAAGAATGGTGTAATACTTCTACTTGGTTATTAAGAACTTGCTGTTTTATCTTTGTGGAGGCCGCTGGTGGCTGTCCTGCATCTCTAAGGCCCGGACGCTGGTTGGACTTGTATAGTGGTACAGGATCTGTTGGTATTGAAGCTATCAGTCGAGGATGCTCTGAGGTGCCCCTACTAATTCATTAAGTTTATTTTTCTATTATTCTATACTTACAGCTTGATTTGATTCCTTTACTCTTTGCTGAATATGATTCAAGGATCCTACAGATGCTCCTCATCCGTTAGATATTACCATTTGACTTGGTGATATAATCTTTTGGCTTGTTACTTGACCTGGTTTTATTGTTCGATCTAAACATTTTCCTGGCTTCATTTGCATATTCCCAGGCGCATTTTGTCGAAATGGATCCTTGGGTTATCTCAGATGTTCTACGGCCAAATTTAGAGTCAACTGGTTTTCTTGACGCATCGGTTATACATGCTGTTCGTGTTGAAAATTTCTTGAAACGTGTGGAACAGTTTTTAGGTACATATTTTTTCCGTCCTCAGTCTTCTCACATTCTAAAAATCAGTACATTAATGTACATAATCGCTGTGAACTGAATTACAAAAATTTAACAAGAATTGAGTCAAACTAATTTCATTTATTCTTGGTGATCCACCGTCTTATATTGTTGCACTACTCTTGTTGTGTAGAGTTCTTACGTTTAAGGATCTGTTTGACGTAGGTAAAAATGGAGAATTTGATTACGTGAGTGTTACACCTCCATATATGCTTGTAGATTACGCAGTATTGATGAATCAAATTTCGAATTCATCAGTAATTGGAGAGAATACCTTTATTGTAAGTTGGCTTCATTTCTTTGACTTGACACAACCCTCTGCTTCTGTCTTTTAATCTGTTTATAAACTCCCAATTCATCTCAGGTGGTCGAGTATCCATTGAGAACTGACATGTTGGATTCATGTGGCTGCCTTATAAAGGTATGTTGCATATCTCTTTATCGAATAATGTTATATTTAATTTCATCTTATGTAATGAATTTAGTTACTTAATTGATTGCTTTATTATTTTGACAATGTAGATAGCTGATAGGCGATTTGGTCGAACCCATCTAGCAATATATGGACCACAGTGGGCTCAGAAGAAGAGAAAGTCAGAGACATGAGGACTGTTGTAGAAAAGGTTTCAACATAATTCGGTATTTTATGGGTTCAAATTCTGTTGTTGTCCAAATGTAGTGATGAATATCACAGTCGAGCCATGAATGGACCGTGCTAGTTTGGTCTGTTTTTTGGGGTAAGTAATTGTCAATGTGCTCAACTGCCTTGTAATATAACATTTATCTCTTGGTGAGCATGCTTAAAGAAAAAATGTAGAATTAATTTTAAGCCCTTGTTTGAGTCCCATTTTTGGGTCAAATGCATTTCAGAATAGTGTTTTGTTGAAGAATGTGTTGTTAAAAAATAATGAAAAGTTTTGGGTTTACGTGTAAAATTATTTTATAGGAAAATATGTTGTTGAAAATGAGTTTTTAAAAAAATTGGGGCTAAATAAGTATTTCTTTTCAATACTTTTTTAGCGAGAATGTTTATCAGGGAAGCCTCATGAAATGAATCTTCTAATGAAGGTTATAGATGTGGTAAAAATAAGAGGGTGGGTCAAAAAACTTATTTGCCTTCGGTAATGGAACAATGTAGGAATCCATATGTATAACATAATATCTATTTAGACGCACTCGGTCCTGCATAAAAATAGTTCGACGTTAAGACTCTCCCTTTAACGTCAAAATACGTTCTTATTTCCACTTTCACATATAATTTTTTGTTTCTTAATCTATTTATAAGTAATCTTTTAAGCTTAGCCAACATGCTCGTCTTTCACTCTGATCTTTTGATTCATATGTTGCAGGTCATTTTCTTGTTTGGCTCTTTTGCATTCCTTGGCTGACTCTCGAGTTTGCGGAGATTATATGCTTGAGGTCTAGTCAGAAAGAGCTAAACTAGAGGTTGGTTTTATTTTATTTTATTTTATTTTACTATTATTATTATTATTATTTTTTTGTGAGAATTGAGTTATTGACATATGGATGTTTATAGTTGCTACAAATCAACCATGTATTGGTTCCACTGCTAATGGCTGCACCAGCCTAGACTAAGTTAAAAAAAGGTTATCCATTTGGCAAAATTTAGAAATGGTCAAAGTCCATTTTCATCCATATATTTCAATGGACACAAGAGTATAGTCAATTAATTTATTACTCACTTTTATCTATTTATAAATTCTTCCCAAACTGTGTGCAGTTTCATCACTGCTATACACCAACAGCTTGTTTGTGCTCCATTCTTGTTTTTTTTTTTTTTTTTTTTTTTTCCTTTTTTTTTTGGTGGAGCTGGATTTGATCCTTTGATTCGAGCTCCCAAGATTTGGTTCTGATTAAAATGTTGCTATCAAGAAGCTCTAGTGAATGCTACCATTTGATTGGATTATCTTAAGTACACTTTCTATCGGTTTGTTCATGAGGGATGGTGATTTGGTTTATGGTGTTTATTTTCATTTTGAGTGTTGTATTTTGAATTTTTGTTTTGAAATTGTTGAAAATGCGTTCTTTTTGTTAGTTTCTCAAAACAAAAAAAAATAATTTTTTTTTTAAAATTTTAAGAATCACCACAACACCACTTCAAAACACCAAAAAAAAAAAAAAAATTAATTTTTATTTTATTTTTTTGAAATTTTGAGAATCACCACACTATCTCCTCAAAAAAAAAAATTTTTTAATTTTTTATTTTTTTTGAAATTTTGAGAATCACCACACCACCTCCTTAAAAAAAAAAAAAAAAAAAAAGAAGTGTTTCCCGCGTTTTTAATTTTTTCAAGTTTTACACTGAAAACGCCCAAAACGACAAAAAAGTCGTTTTGTGTTTTCTTCACAAATTTTTTTCGTTTTCGAAAACGTTTTCGAAAATTCGTTTTCGAAAACGGGAAAGAGAACACGTTTTCACCGTTTTGAAAAATCGAAAACAGAAAACGACCCGAAAACGGTAAAGAGAACAGGGCCTAAGTAATTGAAGACCTGTTTGTAGATACATTGTCAGCTGAAGTCCAAAGCAACACCAACTATTCAAAAGTAAACCTTTTTTTTTAATTTAAATCAGCAATTTCCTCAAAAAACTGGGGATGACCTAGTCAACATTGGCATGCGAATCAGACCAAGGAAGTCATCGTCAAACCAGTTTAATAATAACTAGTGAGAAAACGTGCATTGCACGTTAGTTGGTGAGTAGTCGGTAGAACTCCTATCCCGTACCTCAAGCTCAATTCTATTTGTTATCGTAATATGAAGTGCAACTATTATAAAAATATATTGTTATATATTAACCCCTTGTTTGAGCCGCATTATTTCTAAAAGAATGCATTTTTGAATAATGTATTGATGAGAAATGTGAGGTTAAAAGATAAGGAAAAGTTTTAAATTTACGTGTAATATTATTTTATTGAAAAATGTGTGGTTAAAATAATGTTAAATCATTGTTTAAGAATGTATTTTTTTTGAAAAAAAGTATGGGTCAAATAGGGCTAAATATTTATTTACAAGTGGGTTGTATCATGTATGTCACCACAATCCGAAGAGAATAGTTATACGAAGTGATACATTTTCCAGGACATTAAATTAGTAAGACAGGTTCATAAAAGAAGAAATTACCAAACTTTTTCATTATGAGATAATGCAAATCTTCAACTCTAAAGACACTAACCCACAATCAGGATTTTCTCGTGGCTCATGGTACTGGCTAGGACAAGATGAGTAGGAACGAGGTCCAATACTTGAAAACAAAAGCCTGCAAATAGAAAAAAAAATTATGTTAGAAGACATAACATGATGTAAACAATAAGAAAGTGCAATGCCTTAGATAAGTGGAAATCGAAACGTAACAATGAAGTTTGTCCACATGGTAGGTGATTTGAAACTTTGTAGATGGAATTTTTGCCTCATCTTTTTCAACCACAAACCTTACAATTTTGCAGAAAAATTTTTGTACTTCGTTTTTCATAAATCTTATCTCTTTCTAGGGTTTTCAGTCATTTTGAAAAATTACACATTTCAGATCCACCCCAAAGGTTAGGGACCATTTGCATAGCAACCCCATAAATTAGGGACAATTTGGGCCAATTCCCATTCAAAAAAATGGATAGGCGATATCGAAGCCAAGTGGTATAGCTGATTTTTTAACGACTGAAGAGAGAAGAAAAGAGAAAAGGTGGCATACGTCATACGTGTGAGTCATATTCTAAGAAAGTGAAAAAGAATAAAGATCAGCTAAACTATGAGGGAAAATTAGGGCTAAATATGGTTCGATTCGGTTCGATTCTAATAAGAATCGAATCGAATTTGAAATTTTCGAGTATTTAGTAAGTGAAACCGTTGGTTCCAAATTTAATTATGGAACCGTTCGGGTTCGGTTCCTAGGTTTCGTATAATAATTAAATTTTTTTAATATTTATAAAGTTATATTAATTTAACTAATGATATTTTCTGAAAGAATTGTAGCTCTTTAAGTCGAATTTTCAACGCACTTTGAATCACTTCAATCAGAGTTCGAAAGAGAAAGTTATGATCAAATTATCAAGAGCTGTCCAAGGACGACACATAAAGCAACGGCGCGCGGGGGCAAACAATGGCCTGCATGCACTATCTTTTTTTCTCCAACTCGAGAGCAAAATCATTAAACGGTGCGTGCGCAATGAAATATATGGTGCGCGAGCACGAGTCAAATTTTCTGTGACGGGCCAGTTTCTTTATTTTGATGAAATTCTACATGGAAACAATATTTTGACATCATATATATATATATATATATATATACACACACCTAAAGACGCCCGGAACGAAGAGAACCTCCATTTTGACCTAAAAAACATATATTCTACATATTTTGGAGGCGAAGAACGAGGCCAAACATCAAGATCAAAGCGGATTATACAAGTTTATTGAAGAATATTCATCCATTTTCAAAATTCAAGCCAAGAAATTGGATTTCTCCATTTTCTTCATTATGTCTTCTTTTCGAGTGATATTTTTCTAATATTTCTTGCATAATTTAATCATTAGAATGATGCGCTAATTTTTCTATTGTATTGGATGAATGATGAACCCTATTGTATATTTGTTTTGATTTAAGATTATTAATTTAGTTATTTTTTGATTGATTTTGCACACCCATTGTATTATTTAATTGATTGGTCACCAATTGAATAATTAGTTGTTTGCTGTAGTGTTGGAAGACTCACAATAAGTTTAGAATGCGGCAAAATTAACATATGTAGATGGAATTAGGAATAATTTTTATCAAATATGCAATCACATAGATAACTTGTAATTTAATGCATTTTACACATATGAATTTGGATTAGGAATAAAATCGAGTCGTGATTAAACTAGATTTAATTTGTTTTGAAAAAGAGAATTAAATACATTAGTGTTATCGATTGTCATGAAGCATGAAATTAACTATATTACGAATCAAGAATTAAAATAAATGACAATAAGAGAATTCATGATTCCAATACAAACATTCACATATTTGATAAAATAGTTTTTATTGCTTCCTTAATTTAGAATGAGTTTAAATAACAATAAAATCACATCTTTTGTATCACGAATCGAATTTAGTAGTAGCTAATGAACTAGAATTAAACATTATTTCTTGTGGGATTATAACTCACAACTCACTTTATTATTACTTTTCAACGATCCCGTACCCTTGCAGTTTCATACGAACAGTAAAGATTTTTAAGTTTTCCTCAACTTCCTGGAGAATCTTATTTTCAATTTCATTGTATGGAAATGAGTCTCAGAGAAGTTCATCACTTAAAAAATTTTAAATAAGAATGTTAGCCGTGGTGAAAACATTAACTGGTTATGATAATCTGGAAGGCCAACTCAACTCCCCAGAAACAACCAGCCCCAAGTTGCGCCAACTGTTGGCCCGGAGCCGAGCGGGTACGTCATTTTCAAATTGTTGCGCTATGGAAGAATCGGAAGAGTAATACACAGGAGAGTCAGTGGAGTTATGAACGCCAAATCTGAGCTTGTACAGCCAGCTTATTCTTGGAGAGGTGAAATTAATGGAAGGGTTTTTAGCAGTGCAGAAGGAATTAAAGGGTGTTGGGAAGTGGAATTTGGGAAGGGAAAAAGGGCCTGAGTTGGAGAGACTCTCCGTGGTCTCTCCGCGCACCCTTCTGCCCGTGAAAAGCAAAGTGTCTAAAAGTTTAGTGACCACATATAAATATTTAGGGAAAATTGTAGACGAGGTACCGTACCTTTCGTTTATTAGCAGATTTTGTCCAAACCTTTAGTTTGTGCCACCACAGTCCCAAACCTTTCAAAAATATGCACCGAGGGTCCAAATGGATGGAAACCGTCCGTTTGACCGTTAGTTGACCAATAAAATTAAATTTTGACCAATTTTTGACCAACTTAAAAGGGTAGAAAGATAAATTTGCTATTTAATTTTATAATAAAATAAATTAATTAATATACAAAATAAAAATAAAAGAAACTACTATTCATCTTCTTCTTTCCCCCACCTCACCCCACCCTACCCCACTGCTGCTGCAATTTTCCCAATAAATGGTTTCTTCTTCACCCTACCCATCCCCAACCTGCCTCCACAGCAAAAATTCAGCTATTAACACCGACAGCAACCTACATGAAAATGCCTAATAATTGCTTCAAACAAATACAAACTATGATATTAAACTAATCAAGAAACTAATAAACAACAGAATATCACTATGATAGAAAAGGTCCTCGGGCTAGTGGTCCATTTGATTTCTCATATGGCACTTGTCTTTGGTCCATTCCGTTTTCTGGCTTTCGTTCTTCCATTTCGATTAGGGAAAATTGCATTCGGGATGGGTAGGGTGAAGAAGAAATCATTTATTGGGAAAATTGCAACAGTGGTGGGGTGAAGTAGGGGGAAAAAGAAGATGAATAGTAGTTTCTTTTATTTTGATTTGGTATATTAATTTATTTGTTTTATTATAGAATTAAATAGCAATTTTACCTTTCTACCATTTTAAGTTGGTCAAAAATTGATCAAAATTCAATTTTTTTGGTCAACTAACGGTTAAACAGACTGTTTCCATCCATTTGGACCCTTGATTCATATTTTTGAAAGGTTTGAGACTGTGGATGGCACAAACTAAATGTTTGGGCAAAGTCTGCTAATAAATGAAAATATTTGGTACCTCAACTGCAATTTTCCCTAATATTTACTCAATAAGAATTAATTAGTAAATATATAAAGCATGAAAAAACGTCAACATATGTTTGAACTCCATTTTTTAAAATAAATATTATAAAAATTATAATTTTTAAGAATGTGCAACTCAAAAAAAGATTTTTTTAAGCTATCTAGAAAATTATTATTTTTTGACATAAAGTGCATTTTTAAAATGATTTTGAAGAAAATTAAGTTTTATAGAATGATTTAAGATAAGATTCAAAACACAATGCACGCGCGCATTGCGGAGAGCTATCTCCACGCGCATCTCGAGAATACTTCTCTACCCACCCCATAATCAAACCTGATTGAATTAAAATTTTCAAATTCAATTGATTCTATTTGATTTAGACAAAAAATTAAAAGAAGTAATCGCGTAACTTACATTAAAGAAACTGATCGACCTCGTCCAGAACAATAGTACATGCAATTTAGGCCTTTTGCAAATTTGCAAATTCGAATTCAGGTGAGATTTTAGTTTCCTGGATTTTTAGAAAGTAGAGAAAGAAGACGAAGAAGAAAAGTAGTGCAGAAACGATATGTTGAGTGAAAAAATGGAGAAATGGTACTAAAAACAGCTTTTTTCCAATGGGCCCAACGTAATCCAACTAATGAAATGAGAGAGAGAGAGAGAATGTGAAGGACGATACATATTTGCGACGGCCTTTCTTTCGCTCTTTTTATACATGCAGTATAGGATTGGGTCAAAAAAAGAAAAGAAAAGAAAAGTCATAATGCAGTAACATCTACGCATCATTTTCATTTTCATTTTCAGTTCAAGCGTAAAATCTAAGAATTCTTTGACCACGGACTGGCCTAAAAGTTGAATGGATCATCAGCAGTCAGCAAACATGAAATACAAGAAGTTATTATGATTATTCAAACGACAAGTTTATAAAAATACGAAAAAGAAAGTTTACAAGAAGGCATAATAGTTAAGAAGTTTACTGGAAAAATAAATAAGGGAAATGAGGTGAAATTATCGAAATATACAACAGGTTCAATTCACAATCTTCAGGGAAAAATTTCAGAAGTAGCTTTTATTACAACAAATATGGAACAATAGATTACACTTTATTCACGTTATAATATGATACAAAATACAATTATAATATGGTACGAGTTTTAGAGTAGGGATCTTGAGAGAGCAAAGTGTACCACTCGAAAGTAAATAGAAAACTACCTGCTTCTGGGAATTACCATGGATTGTGGAAATTTCTGCAAGAATCTTTACAAATATCCCGAAGTCAAATGGGACTTTCCGTATCTTGTTTTCGAAATATTAAGCTCCTATTTGAGCTCTATTTTTTTAAGAATGCATTTTTTCAAATCTCATTTCCCCTGAAATAATTAATACACGTATTTCAAAAAAAATTCTTACTTTTTAATCACACATTCTCTAAAAACTTACTATTTCATAATATATTTTACCCCAAAAAAGGGATCAAAACAGGGGCTTGGGAAAAATCGTCGTACTGTTTTGAGAAACCATGTGCCTCGGCCATGCTTTTCAGTGATTCATAGACCTGATGCATAGACCACCTGTCCTTGGGTCGAGAAATGACACAATTACACGCGATTCTCAAGAACCTCACGATTTCCTCGTCATTGCCCTTTGCGCACAAGCTTTTATCGATAGCATCTTTGATTCGATCAGAACCCGAGAGCTGGTTTACCCAGACCACTAAATTACCTTTAAATCCTTCCCCGGACAAACTGACTTCAAGAGCTTTTTGCCCCGTTGCTAACTGAAGAAGGACAACCCCGAAACCGTAAACATCCCCTTTAAGAGAAGCATATCCAAATTCACCTGAATCCCCATTGATGTAACTGCTCTCATCAGATTCTGAAGGAGTCAGGAGTCTTGCCAAACCAAAGTCCATTATCCTAGGATCAAAATCCTCATCGAGGAGAATAATGTCGGAGCTAATGTTTTGATGCAATATAGGAGGATTGCAACCATGGTGAAGCCAAGCGAGTCCCCGAGCAGCACCCAAACCGATTCTAAACCTCGTTGGCCAATCCAAAGCACTCACATTACGATTCAAAATCGAACACAAAGTCCCATTAGACAGATGCTTATAAACCAAGAGCTTCTCCTCCTCCACCAAGCAAAACCCCAACAGAGGCACCAAATTTGGATGCCTAAGTTGCCCTAACCTATTCATCTCCATCCTAAACTTTTTCTCCCCCATCTTACAAGTACTAAGACGCTTAATCGCAAGTGCCGACCCATCCGGCAAAACCGCCACGTACGTTGTCCCCGTGCTAGTCGAGACTATAACATTTTTCGCGCTAAAACCATTGGTGGCCACCAATAAATCCACCAACTTAACCTTCACTAGTGGTTTTTGAAACAATACAATTTGAGTAAGCTTGTGAGCGCTCAATCTTTCAACCCAACTGCTAACTTCATCTCTCCCTTCAATCTCACATCCTCTCTTTCTTTTCTTACTAAAACACCACCACCATAAACCAAACCCTAACAACATAGAACCCGCGGCACCAAAAAAATACTTCTTACTCAAGCCAGGGGCGGAGCCAGGATTTTAGTTCAGTGCGGGCAAAAATTTTTTGAGGACGAATGTCGAGGTTTTGGTCAGGGATTTAATGACGATAAAAAAATAAAACAACAGTACATCAATACTAAAAACGACATAATTTATATATTACACTTGCACTTTGCGAGTTTTCATACTTTGATATCGTTGTATAATAATTTCATTATTGAACTTGAAAAATATATCTTTCTCCACATAAACAATTGTGCTATTATTCATCCACTGATCACCCAATTACTACTAGGAGTGGGAGTAATTCGAGATGTCAAATGAATCACAAATACTGGAAGCAACTCAAAAAACTAGTGCAATTCACAATTTCACAAAATCAATTCACAATCTCGCAATGCAATATATACTATTTCCAAATACTTGGCAACTTGAACTTGCAATCACAGATTCCCAGAGAGCCAGAGCCCAGAGGCAACAATGAACTGGTGGTCCACTGGAAGTTTGTGCCGCTTCGAGCAATTAAAGAACAAAGTGCTAATTTAATATGTTAAAAACAAAAAACAAAAAAAAAATTTATTACAATTTACACATGGAAATAACCAAAAAAAAAAATAAGGGAAAAAAATATGGGGCTTCGCCTTTTGCTTTCTGGAATCTGGCTTCTTCTTTTGTCGGCTCGGCTGGTTGGCATTGGCACTTGGTGCCTTGGCGGAGCTGAGGATGTAAAGTCGGAGTCAGAGATGTGAGATGTCAAGATGAGAGCCTAGAGTAGGAGATATACAATAATGGACTATCGGAGAGGGAAAAGGAACGACGGTTGTACTGTTACGACTGTCTTAGACGACGGTTGACGAAGAGAGAAGGGAACGACGGGCTTTGTCACCGGTGGAGAGGGAAGTGGGTGGCGAAGTGTGAAATCGTCACAGACAAAGTCATGAAGGGTAGAAATTTTGAAATGAATGAATGGGTTTAGGTCAACAATTGATTCAATTGAATTTTGATATGAATGGGTCTAAAACGGGTCATGACCTTGAACACATTTTTCGCGCTAAAACCATTGGTGGCCACCAATAAATCCACCAACTTAACCTTCACTAGTGGTTTTTGAAACAATACAATTTGAGTAAGCTTGTGAGCGCTCAATCTTTCAACCCAACTGCTAACTTCATCTCTCCCTTCAATCTCACATCCTCTCTTTCTTTTCTTACTAAAACACCACCACCATAAACCAAACCCTAACAACATAGAACCCGCGGCACCAAAAAAATACTTCTTACTCAAGCCCCCCTTTTTTCCACATTTTCCCAAAGATCCTCCACAAAGTCCACTGTTCCCACCAAAATCAAGCTCCATATCATACCTAAACTCGGGAACCCTCCCAGATAAATCATTATTAGCAGCAGTAAACTTTGTCAACCTTCCTAAACTCGAAAGCTGAATCGGAATATTCCCAGACAATTTATTATCATCCAAAATCAAGTGATTCAAATAAACGCAATTGGTGAGACCAGCTGGAATTTCACCAGATAATTCATTATGGGACAAATCTAAAGTAACCAAATAAGGCAACCAAGTACAAATTTGAGGTGGTATCGAACCCGAGAGGATATTACCGGAGAGATCAAGATTCTGGAGGTTGTAGCAGAACTGTAAAGAAGCCGGGATTTTTCCGGCGAGGCTGGAGTCCCGGAGTTGCAGGCTGAGAAGCCGATTTTCGCGGCCGTTCCAACACGTAACCCCATCAAAATTACAGATGAATCCAACGGAAGAATTCGAGAACTTCCATGAATTAAGCTTCCCTGTTGGGTCAGTCAATGAGTTTTTCACTTCCTTCAAGCACTTAATGTCGTCTTCTGAGAAAACCCAGTTCGAAAAAAGCAGGAAAATTAGCAGAAGAGAAGTGAATGTGGATCTGAACAGAGGAGGAAGCATAATTATTGATGAGGGCGAAGAAATTGGTGGGTTTTGCTCTTGTGGAGTTTTGTTGGTGTCCTTTGTGGAGTGATTGCATGAGAATTCAAGTGGTTTTTCAATGTAAAAATCGAGGATGGCATTTTGGCATTGACTTCACGTCCGTGTAGAATGGTTTTGGTAGATATTAACATTAACGTGTATGGTTCGCAGGAATTTACTAGTCAAAGCTTGATATCGAGAATGCTTACCAAAGTAAAGTAGGACTTTGGATACTTTCAGTTTGTTTGGGAGCGATTTTTTGCCTCAAAAAATTGATTTTTTTACCGTTATTTCACTATTTCAACCGTCATATTTGACTTCTTCTCTCACAGATAGACCCCACTTTTTTTCGAACGGTCAAAAAATCAATTCTCAAAATCATTCTCAAACAATCTCTTTGATGGGTACATGTGGTTTTAAAATTTGATTATCATAAATCGCGTTATTAAGAAGTTTTACAAAAATTAGGTATTAATTAAAAGGGAAAAAAATATAATTAAAGAGTTTGAAGGATCACTCATTTCAAAACTAAAAACAAAAGTTTCAAATTTCAAAAGTTAGATATTTATTAAAATTTATTTATGATTTAATTAATCAATTAATTAAATATATTAAGGTCACAGATATATACAATTTGATCGCAAATTAACGATTTAATTAATTACTTATTATTTTTTATCACAAATTAAAATTTTTATATATCACAAATTATTTTATGATCACAATTCAAAAAATTTATAGATCACAATTTGTTCATCGGTCACAAATCACGAATATTATAAATTACAACTTATCATACCGTTATAAATTATCAAATTATTGCTCACAAATTATCAGTTTTTTAGATCACATATTATTTATTGATCATAATTTATCTTTTTCATTGATCACATTATTTATTGGTCATAGATTAACCAATGTAATGTTTACAGTCAATCAAATAATTTGTGATCAACAATTGCGACCGCCATCCATTGCACCTACAATACACCACCACTACCATATCCTTTATCTCAATCTATGACACAAGCACAACCCCACCAAAAAATTCACAAACCCATCACCATCACCACCGCACACTATCACTACCACCACCACCTCTAAAACCACAACAAAACATCCAGCAGAATCACCACATAAAATACCGTAAAATCACTGTAGAAACCTCTATTGTCGATTACAACGCTATAGAAATCTCCACAAGCAGCGCTATGACTCGAAAAGTCGGAGAAAAGTTCAAATAGCCGCTGTGATTCGTTGCGTAGGAAAAAAATTCAGATCTACAGGCGGTAGCAAGCAAAACTATAGAGGGGCGACACCGCACCTCAACCCCCCCCCCCCAGAGCAGGACAACATGATAACATTGTGCCTTAACTCTGACCTTTGAGGCGCTGCACATAAGCATGTAGAGGCATTGCGCTGCAGCTACTCCTCCGATGTTGTGCCTCAACGTCTAAGATTGGTGTATTGCCGAAGAAGAGAGAGAGAGAATTATGGAAAGAAGAGAAGTGGAAAATATTTAAGATTTAAACTATTTTACAAACTATCTACCTTACGAAAAGCTACAATAAATTGATTCAAAACCAGAAAGCTTCATTTTAAAGTTTGCTACAATTCTTTTTTTACTACTAATATTATACTTTCTTCCTAGTGATTTTTCATTCCTAACATAGCCTTCTTAAATTCATAAAATAATTATTTGATTAAAACTTACTATTAAAATTTTCAATCGGGCTATACGTACAGGAATTTTAAATGGCTCTTTTGACGAAAAATATACAGGAATTTTAAATGGCTAATTTGGCATAAAATCACAATAAAATGACCAAAAACCCAGGGCAAAAACGAAAGGGCAACCCCACTGACTAAACCCAAACGAATTTTCCCATTTCCCCCAATTGAGTTTGTTGGACGTCACGACTTCTCCCGCAACCAAGTTGGCCGCTGCAGTCATCGTCATCGGCCACCGCACTCACCTCCTTCCCTAGCGCTACAGTCACCGCAACCACACATCCATCCCCTGGCATCAATGTAAGTGTTTGTGGAGTTGTTGTTTGACATGGGTTCTCAGCTTTTTACATGATTTTTTTATAAATACCACGTTTGAATGTCCAAAGTTTTCCCATTATACAAGTTTGGATTTTGGATGTTGATTAATCTTTGTTTGAGTAAGTTACATTTATTACGAGACTTGTTGATTTATGAAGATGGGTGCCACCATTTTAGTTTTGTTGGTAACTCGGTTTTGCATAAGTGTCTTCATTGATAGTTGAATTTCGGCACCCGTTGGTTTAATGAGGAAATCAAGAAGGAATTTCCTGCACCGATTGTTCTACATGTATTATGAGAATTGTTCTTGTTGTTTAATGAAGAAGAATGTCCTACACCGGTAACAAAGGGCGATTGTTCTTTACCTGTAGTAATGAATGCGGGTACTTTGATTGGGTGAAAGATGAAGATTTAGGCGGGGAATCGAGTTCCATTCAGCATGCGGTCAATCAGGCGCCCGACAAGGAAGACGAAGGGCTGCCAAGACTCTTTGATGGGCTAGCTACAATTAGCGAGAAACGAGGCGTATCACTGCACATAACTTTTAGCAAGGAAAAGGGAATTGCTAATTGTGATGGGAAAGGAAAGAGGTCGAATTGAGGGGGTGATTTGAGTCATGTCATCGGTTGAAGCACCAGTACAATGTGAATTTCAATTTGCATAACAATATATTGGTCTTATGCATGTCTAATCTGTATTTCACGGTGGTTTGTAAGACAAAAATTTATGACAAATATAGCCTAATTGACATGTTCATAAATTCGTATGTTTGTGCCCCCTCACTTTAATATTGCATCCGTGGTCACATTTGTTTCACATTTAAATCCTGAGAATTCAAAAGCAACTTGTTTCACATTTCAATCTCGGGATTCCCATTCTTTGGGATATAATGTAATTGGATCCCCATTTTGATAAAGTCTTGTACACTGCAAGAAGAATTCATGAAATGTCAAATATCTCATAACTCCATCTTTCCCTTTTTTTGAATTCCTTTTTCGCACTGGAAAGCCAATGTCATGAGCATATTTTTTGTAGAAATCAAACATTTTCTTATCATCACTAAATGTCATACCCATCTTAGGCACTAACGCCACATCTTCTCCTACATTTTCATTTTCCAACATATTTAAATTCTCCACAACGTTCTCGTTATCAGATTGAAGCAACAAATCAGGATTCATATCTTCCATAATTTTGTTTCCTACCACAGAAATTATAAGAAGCAATCAATGCACCAAATAAACCCAAAACCCATCAATAATTGAAGGCCAAACGCAATTCTGGAAAATATAAGGAAATGCACAAAATACAGACTTCCGGAATATATATTTATTTCAATTCCGTCGTCTTTGTTTTGTTTGGAAATATAACTTACATTTTTCCACATTCCATTCTATGCACAATTACATGTATTTAGCTAATATGCAAAATATCTACATTTGTTGCATGCAATTTTACATAGAAAATCATGTAAATAGACTCGAGCTTTTCTGGGTAACACAGCCAAAAGTCAACACATTTAAAGACATTATTAGAATATGAAACCATTGAAACTTCTGAAGTCGGAGATTCACTGTGATCATCAATATAATTGTCGAAATTTTTGCTATGAAGGCCAAACTGGAAAATATAAGAAAATGCACAAAATACGTAGTTTGGTCAGAAGATGCTAGAAATGCTTACGAGGGGAGGAAGCTGGAAATGAAAAGGTGTTAAGGTACAATCTTCATTTCCATAACCATGTCAACTCCATTTCTTTGAACCACCAGCGAAATCGAAATGGGTATCAATCGCTCCAAACAACCGCTTGTACGGTGGCTTCTTAGCCGGAGATGGTCCCCGACACCGATGAATCGAGATGGGTATGAGCAACGAGCAATGGATGGCGACTTGGACAACGCTTTGGGAGGGAAGGGCTGCTGGGTTCTATTTTGGAAAGGAAATAAATGTGTCTTCCCGGTAGAACCCACGTCCCCAAATTAATTTTTGAGCCTTTGATGTTTTCTTTATTTTTATTTTTTTTCCTCTTTGCCACGTAAGCCGAATTCAAATTCCTATGAGTTTCTTGTCAAAACCCCTCTGTACCTAGAGCTTTTTTCATCTTTGAAGCTTATTAAGGTCCAGTTTGAGTCACATTAATATAAAAATGAGAACGAAAAATATAATCATTACAAGTCTCATACAAGAGATAGAAAGTCAAATATGATGACTTGATGTGATGATAACGATTATATTTTTTTATTTTAATGAGCAAATAATGAAAAACAAAGGGCTAACCATATAAAGAAAAAACTTGCGTCCTTTTGTGTATGGGAGCGGGAGTAAACCTCCAGCTATGGCAGTTTCATTATCTCTCGTAAAAACTCGACCTCTCTCCCCGCTACATAGCAACTGTACCAGTTCGTTTTGTCCCAATTTTCCTCTCAGTTTGCCCTCAAATTGCAACTGCAAAACTCGCCACCGCCCCCAATTCGTCATTACTTTCTCTTATAGTAAGCAGCTCAAATTCCCGATATGCATTCATTTTTTCGTCTCATTCCTTGTCTACTTTGCAAAAAGAAAAGAAACTAAACCTCATCTATGTTGATTGCTGAGTCTTGGAATTTTTCTTAATTCTTCACTGTGTTCATATTTAAGTGTCCTGGTATTTTACTGTCACTCATCGCCTAGTTTGTTTTAGAACACTAACTTTTAGAATCTAATTGCTCTTTTGCGAGCTGTTGTTGTTTGAGCTTATCTGGTACTGATTATTATTTTCACATATAAGCAACTTGGAACTTTAACACTATACAATGATATATCATAATCAAGGAATGGAGTCGTTGCTACTGACAAGAAAAGGGAATTGCTTGAAAGTTACGGCCTTAATCCGGTAATCCCGACAAATTTTTATCGGAACCCTCTCCCAAGGTCGATTCTCTCTCATTATCCTTTTTTTAAATGCAAGCGTGGATATTTGTATGTGATATGAGTGAAGTGTATTGATTGATTATTTTTGTTTCATTTTATAGATAAAGAGGAGAAAAGAGCGCACAAAGATGGGAATGGGAAATGAAGTACTTTTGGAGGATCCGAAACCTCCTAGGGATACTCACAAATTGCTTCAGGTTTGAATGAACTAAGAAAAGCATTAGTCTTCATATCAAGTGGAGGATTTCTTCTCAAAACTGTTACATCTGTTGGAATGAGCTTATTAGGCATTTGATATCTGGATGTGAATTTATTTTCCCTTAGTTCACTGTGAAGTTAAGCTTATAAATAGAAGGATAAAAAGGATGACAGAAGGATAATGTTCGGCCGGCTTACTTTAATGACATAATGCTTGATGTGTGCTCAAGCATTATTCTTCGGCATTCAGCAGTGTAGTTTTAAGAGAAATTGTGATGTATTGTTGTTTGCTTTGCTACTGTACAAACTGAGCTGGATGTCTACTTCTCATTTCAAGTGTATAATTGCAGCTGATTTGTTACCCTTTGTATGTGGACCTTTAATTTGGGTTTTGTCTGGGAAATAAGTTTCACATGAACTTTCATGGCTTTATAGGTTCTTGGAGGGACTGCTCGAAGAAAGAAATTGCTCTCACCACTCACCAAAGGGCATGGATGTGCGACCAATGATGGAAGTTGTAAAGGGAGCGGCTTTCAGCAAATTGCAGGTGAATCCTGCTCTAGAATTTTGAACACAATTTTCCTCTTTTAATTGGATAAGGTGTTTTGACTTCTTTATTTGCACCGGAACAATTAGAAAGCAAAGAATGGTGTAATACTTCTACTTGGTTATTAAGAACTTGCTGTTTTATCTTTGTGGAAGCTGCTGGTGGCTGTCCTTCATCTCTAAGGCCTGGACGCTGATTGGACTTGTATAGTGTTACGGGATCTGTTGGTATTGAAGCTATCAGTCGAGGATGCTCTGAGGTGCCCCTACAAATTCATTAAGTTTAATTTTCTATACACTCAGCTTAATTTGATTCCTTTACTCTTTGCTAAATAGTTATGATCTTGAATTGATTGCTTTTCCTTTTGCTGAATATGATTCAAGGATCCTGAAGGCTCTCCTCTTCTGTTAGATATTACCATCTGACTTGGTGATATAATCTTTTGGCTTGGGTCTTTACTTGACCTGGTCATATTGTTCGATCTAAACATTTTCCTGGCTTCATTTGCATATTCCCAGGCGCATTTTGTCGAAATGGATTCTTGGGTTATCTCAGATTTTCTACGTCCAAATTTAGAATCAACTGGTTTTCTTGACGCATCGGTTATCCATGCTGTTCGTGTTGAAAATTTCTTGAAACTTGCGGAACAGTTTTTAGGTACATGTTTTTCCTTCCTCAGTCTTCTCACATTCTAAAAATCAGTACATTAATGTACATAATTGCTGTGAACTGAATTACAAAAATTTTAACAAGAATTGAGTCAAACTAATTTCATTTATTCTTGGTGATCCACCGTCTTATATTGTTGCACTACTCTTGTTGTGTAGAGTTCTTACGTTTAAGGATCTCTTAGATGTAGGTAAAATGGAGAATTTGATTACGTGAGTGTTACACCTCCATACATGCTTGTAGATTATGCAGTACTGATGAATCAAATTTCGAATTCGTCGGTAATTGGAGAGAATACCTTTATAGTAAGTTGGCTTCATTTCTTTTACTTGACACAACCGTCTGCTTCTCTCTTTTAATCTGTTTATAAACTCCCAATGCATCTCAGGTGGTCGAGTATCCATTGAGAACTGACATTTTGGATTCATGTGGCTGCCTTATAAAGGTATGTTGCATATCTCTTTATCGAATAATGTTATATCTAATTTCATCTTATGTAACGAATTTAGTTACTTAATTGATTGCTTGATTATTTTGACAATGTAGATAGCTGATAGGCGATTTGGTCGAACCCATCTAGCAATATATGGACCACAGTGGGCTCAGAAGAAGAGAAAGTCAGGGACATGAGGGGGGTTTTTTCTTTTTCTTATTTTGCTTTCTTTCTTTCTTTCTTTCGTTTTCAATTTTTCAATTTTTTTTATTTTTTATTTTTTTATTTTTAGGTGAGAATTGAGCTAGTGTCCAAAGTATATAAATTTGTAACTTTAATATATTTAATTAATAAAATATATAATTAAATAATTAAATAATAAATTAAATATAATAAATATCTTATTTTTGAAATTTGAAACATTTATTCTTAGTTTTTGAAAATGATAAATACTTATCTTCTTAGTTTTGAAATTTTCCCTTTTTCTTTTTCTTATTTTGCTTGCTTTTTATTTTTTTATTTTTGGGTGAGAATTGAGCTATTGACATATGGATGTATATAGTTCCTACAAATCACCATGCATCGGTTCCACTGCTAATGGCTGCACCAGCCTACATTAAGTAAAAAAAAGGTTATCCATTTGACAAAATTCAAATTTCATTTTCAGTCATATATTTCAATGGACATAAAAACTAATCAATTATTTATCACTCATTTTTATCTATTTATAATTTTTTTGCAAATTGTATAGTTTCATCGTTACTATACACCAATGTTTGAGCTCCATTTTTTTTTTTTTTTTGCAAAAAATGCATTTAGGAATAGTATTTTGATATAGAATGTGTGGTTAAAAAATAAAGAAAAATTTTGAACTTGCATGTAATATTATTAAATTAAAGAATATTTGATTAAAAATAAGAGAAAGAGAAATGTATTTTAGAAATAATGGGGACAAAACAAGGACTTATGTTCCTAAATTTCTATTGTGGGCTTGACAACCTTTAACCTTTTTGGTATTATTGAGTGGGAAAATTTCATAACTAAAATGTTAAGTATCACCCATTTCAAAATTAACAGCCTGTTTGGGAGTTTTTTTTTGCCCAAAAAATTTATTTTTGATCGTTATTTCACTATTTCAACCGTCATATTTGACTTCTTTTCTCACAGGTGGACCCCACTTTTCTCCTAACGGTTAAAAAATCAATTCTCAAAATCACTCCCAAACAGGCTCTAAAATAAAAGGCTTCAAATTTTTAAAATCAGATATATATTAAATTTTATTTATGATTTAATTAATTAATTATGTAATTTACTAATCAAATATATTAAAATCACAAGTCTATACAATTAGGTCACAAATTAACGAATTAGTTAGTCACATTTTATTTTTTTATTACAAATCAGAATTTTAATAAGCTACAAATTATTTAACGGTCACAATTCAAAAATTGTATAGGTCATAATTTGTTCATTGATCATAAATAAAAAATTTATAAGTCATAATTTATTTATCGGTCACAAATCTCAAATAATATAAGTCACAACTTATTATGCAATCACAAATTATCAAAATTATCGGTTCCACGATCGCCATTGCATCAACCACATCACCTCTCGGCTCCACCGCTAGCAACAAGATGATCCACCACCCCACCAATAAAACCACAGCCATCACCGGATACAACATAACCTTCGCCATCACTGGATCCAACAACGCCACCAAACACCACCACCACCACCATAGCCCTCACACACCAATTGAAAACACACCCAAAAAACCTATAGCAGATTGTGACACTATAGATTCCGACAACGGTGCGCAACAAATCTCAATCACAATTGAACCAGCGACAATCTCGCCTACAGTGGCACAGCAGCTCTCAAATGGTTTCATATAGGAAACAATAACACCCATAGCCCCTTCTCTCTTGCATCGTTGCATAGCAATCGCCGCTCGTCTCATCACTTTGTGGGCAGCATCGTCATCATCTTTCCGATCACGCTTATCACCTTTGCTGTGTAGAAAGAGAAAGGAGATTGGGAGAGAGAACGAAGTTGGCTATGGCTATATGGAGAGAAAGAAGATATTGGGAAATAATTAGGGTTCAGAATGGAATAAGTTAGATTAATTAATTTTTATATACATTAATTAATTAACAAAGCATCTGATATTTAGAATTGAAAACTTGACATGATTTATGAAATGGAATCTTGTATGTAATTTCCGCTTATTGGGTTGGACATGACTCGTGAGAAACTGAGCAATTGAAGACCTGCTTTGTAGATACATTGTCAGCTGAAGTCCAAAGCAAGACCAACTATTCCAAAGTAACTTGTTTTTTAATTTTGATAAAAGAACACCACCACCAATCAGCAGTTCACTCAAAAAACTGGGGACGACCTAGTCAACCTTTGCGTGCCCATGAGACCAACTAAGTCATTTTCAAACCAGTTTTATAATAATTAAGTCAAAAATAAAATAAAATCATGTCATAATGAAGTAACTTCTACGCAATATTTTCATTTTCAGTTCAAGCGTAAAATCTAAGATTTCTTTGACCACGGACTGGCCTAAAAGCAGTGCTGCTACACTTAAAGACAGACCCCTGCCAGATCTCTCACCGTCGCGGGCCCTGGCGTAACTTTTTTTTTTTTTTTTTCCTCATGTGGGACCGACCCCTACAGTGAGGAGGGATCGGTAAGACCCCTTGGAGGAAATTGTTCTCCTAAAAGTTATAATGATCATCAGCAGTCAGCAAACATGAAATCCAAGAAGTTAATATGATTGTTCAAACGACAAGTTTATAAAAATAAAAAGTGAAAAAGAAAGTTTACAGGAAGGCATAATTGTTGAGAAGTTTACTGGAAGAACAAAAATGGGAAGTGAGGTGAAATTATCTAAATATACAACGGGTTCAGTTCACAATCTTCAGGGAAAAATTTCAGAAGTAGCATTTCTTACAACAAATTTCGAACAATAGATTACACTTTATTCACGTTATAATATTATACAAAATACAGTTATAATATGGTACGAGTCTTACAGTAGAAATCTTGAGAGAGCAAAGTGTACCACTCGAAAGTACGTAGAAAACTGTCCGCTTCTGGGAATTTACCACCAAAGTTAAATGAGATTTTCCGTATCTTGTTTTCGAAATATTAGGGGAAATTCGTCGTCCTGTTCTAAGAAACCATGTGCCTCGGCCATGCTTTTCAGTGATTCATAGACCTGATACATAGACCACCTGTCCTTGGGCCGAGAAATGACACAACTACATGCGATTCTCAAGAACCTCACGATGTCCTCGTCATTGCCCTTTCCACACAAGCTTTTATCGATAGCATCTTTGATTCGAGCAGAACCCGAAAGCTGGTTTACCCAGTCCACTAAGTTACCTTTAAATCCTTCCCCGGACAAACTGACTTCAAGAGCTTTTTGCCCCGTTGCTAACTCAAGAAGTACAACCCCGAAACCATAAACATCCCCTTTAAGAGAAGCATATCCAAATTCATTTGAATCCCCATTGATGTAACTGCTCTCATCAGATTCTGAAGGAGTCAGGAGTCTTGCCAAACCAAAGTCCATTATCCTAGGATCAAAATCCTCATCGAGGAGAATAATGTCAGAGCTAATGTTTTGATGCCATATAGGAGGATTGCAACCATGGTGAAGCCAAGCAAGTCCCCGAGCAGCACCCAAACCGATTCTAAACCTAGTTGACCAATCCAAAGCACCCACATTACGATTCAAAATTGAACACAAAGTCCCATTAGACAGATGCTTATAAACCAAGATCTTCTCCTCCTCCACCAAGCAAAACCCCAATAGAGGCACCAAATTTGGATGCCTAAGTTGCCCTAACCTATTCATCTCCATCCTAAACTGTTTCTCCCCCATCTTACAAGTACTAAGCCGCTTAATCGCAAGTGCCGACCCATCCGGCAAAACCGCCTTGTAAGTTGTCCCCGTACTAGTTGAGACTATAACATTTTTCGCACTAAAACCATTGGTGGCCACCAATAAATCCACCAACTTAACCTTCACTAGTGGCTTTTGAAACAATACAATTTGAGTAAGCTTGTGAGCACTCAATCTTTCAACCCAACTGCTAACTTCATCTCTCCCTTCAATCCCATATCCTCTCTTTCTTTTTTTACTAAAACACCACCACCACAAACCAAACCCTAACAACAGAGAACCCACGGCACCGAAAACCCCAGCCGCTATAATAATTGCCAAATTCTTCTTACTCAAGCCCCCGCATTTTCCCAAAGATCCTCCACAAAGTCCACTGTTCCCACCAAAATCAAGCTCCAAACCATACTTAAACTCGGGAACCCTCCCAGATAAATCATTATTAGCAGCAGTAAACTTTGTCAACCTTCCTAAACTCGAAAGCTGAATCGGAATATTCCCAGACAATTTATTATCATCCAAAATCAAGTGATTCAAATAATCGCACTTGGCGAGACTAGCCGGAATTTCACCAGATAATTCATTATGGGACAAATCTAAAGTAACCAAATAAGGCAACCAAGTACAAATTTGAGGTGGTATCGAACCGGAGAGGGTATTACCGGAGAGATCAAGAGTCTGGAGGTTGTAGCAGAACTGTAAAGAAGCCGGGATTTTTCCGGCGAGGCTGGAGTCCGGGAGTTCCAGGCTGTGAAGCCGATTTTCCCGGTCGTTCCAGCACGTAACCCCATCAAAATTACAGATGAATCCAACGGTAGAATTCGAGAACTTCCATGAATTAAGCTTCCCTGTTGGGTCAGTCAATGATTTTTTCACTTCCTTCAAGCACTTAATGTCGTCTTCTGAGAAAACCCAGTTGGAAAAAAGCAGGAAAATTAGCAGAAGAGAAGTGAATGTGGATCTGAACAGAGGAGGAAGCATAATTATTGATGAGGGTGAAGAAATTGGTGGGTTCTGCTTTTGTGGAGTTTTGTTGGGGTCCTTTGTGGAGTGATTACATGAGAATTTAAGTGGCTTTTCAATGTAAAAATCGAGGAAGGCATTTTGACATTGACTTCAGGTCCGTGTAGACTGGTTTTTGTTTAACATTAACGTGTATGGTTCGCAAGAATTTAGTGGTCAAAGCTTGATATCGAGAATGCTTACTAAGTAAAGTAGGACTTCAGAAATTTTGATAGGTACATGTGGTTTTAAAATTTGATTATCATAAATCGAGTTATTAAGAAGTTTTACTAAAATTAGGGATTAATTAAAACACCAATTTCTCTCTCTCT